TCCATATTTATAGAGTAGGAAAGGGAAAGGCACGCAGGCAAGAGCCAAGAAAGCCGGAACACAGGATGCCCAATGGATCCCCAGATCTTCGTACATGTACTTGGTGAATAGTGGGAATGCAAATCCGAATAACGACCGCAGTAGCGTGTTAGCTGCCAGGACAGATGCCGCGAAGATGGTGTAAGCATCGATCAGGTAGTTGAAGACACTAAGGAAGACAAGCAACATTCCGAACCCGAACGGAACTCCAGCAGCGACGCTTGCAAGCCAGTGGACGGATGGAGAGTTAGTCCATGCGAACCAGAAGAGTCCTAAAGGGAGGGCAATAGAGGCCAGCATACACGGCGGAAGGCGGGCTTCTGGGGGCACATAGCCACCATTCTTCTCAAGAAGTTTCGCGTAGCGCTTATTTTCAGGAATTGAATACGCAACCGCAGCGAGCATACCAATCATGACACCGATAAAAGATAAGGCGCCGACGCCTTGATTCCACCCACGATGAAGCTGATACACAATCGGGAAGGCACCGAAAAGCATATAGAGGGTTCCGTAGATGATAGCAAGGTAGATCGACAGCAGCAAGACAATAGGTTCTTGAAAAAGAAGAATCATGGGCCGGGAAAGAGAGATTTTCAAAGCGGCTTTCAGCGTGAGACGTCCTTGATCGATATCTAATTTGCTGTAGTACACCTGACCTGTAAGCTTGGAGAGAGTCATTGCACGCTGGCGGAGAAGAACGGGGGCATATGTCTCAGGCTTCAACGCGGCTCCTAAGAACCACATGACACCACAGAGGATGGCCAAGAGACCCATCACCCACCTCCAGCCTCCGTTAGACATACCGAGGAAGCCACCGGCGATGGGCCCAATGACGGGCCCTAGGAATGGCGCTAAGGCGAAGGCCGATAAGGCCAGTCCTCGGTCGCGAGCCATGAACATGTCGGCGATAACACCGCCCGAGTTGGTAAGGGGAGAGGAGCCGAAAGCACCGGAGAAGAATCGAAAGACCAGGAGGGTCTGGATATTCTGCGCGCCCGTACATGCGGCACAGAAGACGGTCAAACCGCAGTAGGTTGTGATGAACACAAGCTGGCGACCGAAGATTTCACTCATCGGGGCCCAGATCAGAGGACCCAGGGCAAAGCCCAGTACGTAGAGGGATACTCCCAAGGTGGCAACCTCGGTGGTTGCGCCGAATCGTTCTTCAATTTGAATAATACCCCCAGTATAAGCGGACGAGACTAGAGCAACGACCAAGGTCTCAATGGCGGCGACCACGGTGATGAACCATTTCATGGAAGTCTTTAACTGAAGAGGGTTTCGAAAGTCCTTGGGCATCCATTCCACGACATAGGGATCGTCTTCGGTCCCTGAGCCGGCACAGGGGTGGTCGGCAACCTCTTGGGTGATAGCACCGGGGCTGAGAACGAGTCGCCAGAATGGGATGGAGGTTGGCAAGTGTAGGGAGTTGGCATTCTCGGAGACCTCCATTGTTGAGACTCAAGAGATGACCTCTAGAGCGAGATCTGCGATCTGCGTAGGATGTGATATAAGGTAGAATGGTGACAATATGGTAAAAGGATTTTTTCGAGACCCGTCTACTATATGTAATCCATGTAGTACTCCATACATATCGGAGGGATTGCTCATTTCAGCTGTAGTGGGGGGGTAGTCATATGGAATAATAAGCTGCATCTTTATTAAACAAAGAAGAAAAGATAGAAAAAGATTAGAAAAAGACAGAACAATCCCGTTGATTGGCTTCAATATCTTCAATATCCCGACAATCTCCACTTAGTCCCGGCCCGATCAGTAATCGACTGCTCGGCTGAGCCGATGTTTGGGTGATTGGAAGAGTTTTTGTTCGTTTAAGCCGAGGTTCATTTGGTATTTACCTTCATACTTATGCATTTAGGGCTATCACGTCGGTTTTATGCAAATATACCATTCTGCCAAGCGTCCGTACTTAGCACAACTCCGTAGACTCTATGATTTAGACTTGATTCTCTAGATCTTTGAAAGTACAGAGGACAGAGGACCAGGGTTATTAGTTCATGAGGTGTCTGATTTAGATGCAGACCGATACGAGCACAGCACAGCTATTATTGGCCCATAGTAATGGGACTTGCAGTGAGAGATAACCAGATAGATGGCCTGAACTGTCTGGCAACTACCCTCAATATCCACCCCCTATCTCAACACCTCACATCTCACATCTCTCAACATTATTTACCTGGACAGCAAATAAATCATGGTCTAAATCCATCTTCATTGGTACACGTCTAACTCATTACAGGCTCTTCTCGATCTCAGCGACCTCAGCCATCACCTGTCGGATCCCGGTTTTGACTTCCTCTCCCGCCTCCTCGTAAGGGTGTCGAGGGGCCAGGTTAGCTACTGCATCCTGAATCCCTGCCAACTGGGCGGAGTAGCACGCTACCGCATACTTCGTTGACGCAATACCACCCTTGATGGCACCTTCTGCGATCGCCGCCTTCTTTTGGAGCTCCACCGCCTCCTCAATCTGACTTTTCTGATACAACGCATAGATCCGAGCCGTCACTTTGGGAAAAACGTTCGCGAAGGCAGCAATACATCCCGCACTTCCTGCAGCTAGCCCGCCGATCAGGAAATCCGACTGTCCACCAAAGGTCACAAAGTCCTCGGGCGCAAATGCTGCAGCTAGCCGGGTGATCTTTCCCACGGATCCACAGGTCAGTTTGACCCCAACCACATTGGACCGTCCACTGGCATGCGCAGACGTCGGGTCCTGTGCGATCGCGGCAATGGTCTCAGAGTCCATATCCACCCCGTTGCACACCCCCGGGAAATTGTATACCACCACTGGCAGAGGTGACTTGGCTGCTACTTCGGAAAAGAAGCGCTTCACCACGTTCATGTTTGTAGCTTTTCCAAAGTATGCGGGAGGAAGAATGAGAAGGTAGTTGGCGCCAGCAGCGGCGGCGTCCTGTGCGAGCTCGAGGGTCTGCTTAGTCGAGTGCGCACCGACACCGGCCATCAGGGGAAAATCAGGGCCAACGGCGGCTCTTGCAGTTGAGATGAGCTGAGCTCGCTCTTCACGGGTGAGGAGGAAGGCTTCTGAGTTGGTCCCCAGGATCACTAGACCCGCTAGCCCGGTTTTGGATAGATAGGCAAAAAACTTGGATTGAGAGTCGAGGTCTAATGAGTCGGTGTCACGGTGAAAAAAAGTGACCGCAGGGCACCAGACTCCAGATAAAGGGACATGGGGTTGAGGAGAAACGGTAGCGTGAGAACCCATTGTAGAGGTTGTAGAGGTTATAGAGGATGTAGAGGATGTCGAAGTTCTCGAAGTTGTCCGATATATATATATCGAAGTATGTACTAATCCAGTACTTCCAGTAGTCCTGGCATAACTCTTATAAGATATCCATATCCGATCAGATATTCCTCTCTCGGATCAAAGTGAGGGGCAATCGGCCATATCTCCGATTGAGATTTAAGCTATTTGCCGCTATTTTGACGTGCGAACTGCCAATGTCGGATGTCAGAACCGACGAAGCCAATCTTGTACACAGTTCAACAAGCTAAATGAGTCCACTCTCGGCTCCTCCACCCGATCGACTAATTATAAATATTTCTAATTTGTTGGTCAGATTGCGATTGAATCTGTGAGTGACTCGGCCTACTTCCGAGATATATATACTGGTTTCCTCCGGTGGGTTTGTATGAGTGCGAGGGGTAAGCAACTCGGCCTGGAACCCGATATCACGTCAAGTATGATTCCTATCGGCATTCCAAATAATCAGGACATATATAAAGAACTGCTTGCCGTAGACAGTATAGCCATAAGTTATTAACTTAATAGTCCAATCGTAAAATCATCAATCTGGTTTTGCCCCTGTACAACCTCCAGTTAGATCACGTGCCCGGATGTTTGTATTCCCCGACCGGCGCTTGGTTGGGTATCGAAGTGCGGCGTCTTTACTCTGCCATCAATGCTTTCTCAGACCCACCCCAGTGGTATAATCCGCAATGTCAAGCTAGGTCAATCTTGAACGGTAAGATATTCATCTTTTCGAGATTCTGGACTCTTATAGTAACACTCCGATGGTACATTTTCTTCGGCCTGAAAGCTTCATCATCTGATTATGCTCTGAGGATTACAATATTCCACTTTTACATTCCCTATCCATCATACTAAATAAGAAGCTCAGTTTTATACATATCATCATAAAAGCCGAACATGAGCCACTCTGAAGCATTCCTTCATACTCACACATTCTGTCTTATCTTGTGCTGAACGTGACGTCTCATTTCCAGCAAGCTTTGCTTTCTGGTTACACCCACGAGGTTTCGATGAATGAAGTATCTTTTGATTATTTAAACCTCGCGACCCCTCAAAACAACCCGCATTTCCTTTGGCAACCTCAGACGCATTCCAGAATGGACCTGAGCAATGCCGACCCGATGGCCCATCTTCGAAAATTTGCTTCTTTCGACGATATTGAAGGCCTTGCTTCTGCTTTCTCTGGTATACATTCAACCTCACTTGATAATGAAACGTTCAAAGCGAAACAGTCCCCATTCTTCACGAGGCGATTCAAAACGACTCTTTCAGGGTTGTCGATTTCCTTCTTGACCACGGAGCTGCTATGCATCCTCTACTTTTCCAAGAAGCTACCAAATACTCGTCGTACCGGGTTCTGGAATCATTCCTTAATCATGGCTTCGATATCAACACGCCGATTGATACAAACAATCCTCCGGCCATCGCGTGAGTAATTTTTCCCTTTTGACTGATGTTATGCTGATAATTTTTGTTTAGATCGTCCTTCCACGATATACATTTGACCAGGTGGTTTCTTGCCCATGGAGCAGACCCTGATCGACGATGTGACAGAAATAAAGATTGTACGCCGCTTTCTATTGCTTTTTTGGACGCGGAGTTTGAAGTAATCCAACTTCTTCTTGATCACGGTGCTTCTCTGCGGCAGGGTCAGGTGATGCATTATGCTGCAATGCGAGAGCTAGATGACCGGCTGGAAGTCCTACGGTATCTGATTGCAAAAGGCATCCCCGTGAATGATATTATGTATCAAAACTGTGGAGATGAGTACTATTTTCATATGTACAGCGGGATAGCAACTCCTCTCCATTATGCCGCTGGGAAAGGATTACTTGATTCCGTCAAGGTCTTGGTCGATGGAGGTGCTTTACCCTTTATCAAGGATCCTTCTGGTCGGACTGCTGCTGAATGGGCTCAAATGAACCATCATATCAGCGTCGTGGAATTTTTACACTCATTGTCTACTGGTGATGACTTCCGGCAGTTCACGGATGCGCTAGGAAATCATTTTAGAACTGTTCCATTGGATACACTGCTCACGAAGACCGGCCTGAAACTAGTCTAGTTTTGAGCAGAACGGGATTTTATAAAGATTGACTCGGAGGTTTCACTGTTTATTGGGTATAGTCTCTTTATAAAAGAAAGTCTGTCATGGCATCCTTCTTGATTAGTGTCAATCTGTTCTTCATATAAAGCGGTCAACCCACTGACGGATAGGGGCGCCACTTCAGCCCTATGCCAATGAAGAAATTCCATAAATGAAAGTGGCTATCAATTAATATAGTTGTCCTGATCCTGGGATTTTCGGTTGTATGTCTGAGAAATGCGATTCATTTCTGCCTCAATATTACCAAGACGAAGAAGAAAAGAGAAATATAGAACTCGAAATCCTAGGAGTGCGTCCCTAGACCTAGATTACCGGCATTCTCCGTTTGGAGAGTTGAAGAAACTGCGTGAAGTCTTCTAGACCTCCATGTTTACGCTACTAGATACCTCGCATATCCTGCGACAGGATAAAACATATTGGGATAGCGTAAGCTGGACATTCTATTTCACTATAGCAGAACTGGAATATAAGGAAGTGGTGTATCCGCCGAAGTTCAATATAGACCAACACTCCTTCTAAAGGCCTTATCATGACACAAGATTTAGGTTCTCCTGTCGATATGCTTGCTTCTTTTTGTTTATATGGCATTATCATCTACTACGCGTTTCTGATTTGTGTCCTCTTTTACCACGCCACCAGGCCGGCTTTCTTTGGAAGCTGTAGGTATATTCCTGGATATATTTCATTGCACAATCTTATTGTTCGAGGTAGTGATTTGAAGTACATCAATCCAGCGATGATTGGTTCTGTAAGCGCTGCGCCAATTGATCTTGAGTATGAGCTATGTTTGATTAGATACCAATCTCTGAAATAAGCTGATCATATTCTATATAAGAACATCGGAATATTCCTTCTCAGGTTTCTCTGCAACTGCGAATCGGCGGACTCTTCGTTCAATTATAAAGGATTCAATTATAAAGGGACGTGCGGCCCCAGACCTGTATCTAAGCCGCATTATCTTTCTATCATTATTGGCAACAACTAGGCATGATCGGCTGTTTTGCACCTGTATGATTGACTCCTATACTAGTAGAAAGGTCGTATACTGCCTTAATGTGGTTCAAGATTTTCCGCGCAGTATGTGTTGGCATTCGTACTACAATTATCTTTCCTGCGAAAGCCAAAAAAAGTATGGGGGTCTTTTTAAATGTTGGAAGTGCGACTGCACCCGAACTGGGGAGAGAAACCAAGACATTCGACACTATTGTGGTGACTGTAATGCCTGTACAGACGACTGAACCGGCGGCGCTAGGTGACCCCCAACATACTCTCACTGTTGTATGTTTTTGTCTGTCTTTTGTCATGGAGACATGATTCAATGGAAAGGAAAGCAGGAATTATATGCTGGAGTAACCATAGTGTCGTCTTTCTAGTCACTTTGGAGTCCTGCTCTAGGTGACTGCCTGGATTGTAATTCAAATTGCCTTGTAATATCATTCTAAGGTTATCTCTAATGTTATGACGGTGCCACGATCTGCATGATGTGACTTTACATCGTTTGACCATTGCTTGCCTGCTGGCTTGCTTCCTGTTCGCTTGATTCTTTCCTGTGTTTATAGGGAAGTCGTCTGACTTCTACTTGGACAGCACATTGCTCGAATACCACGGTCGGGGGCCTATACCCGGAGTGCCCGGCGGTCACGGCTGCTGGGAATAAGGCAACTATGTTGTAAGCAAAGATCGCCACGGTCGGGAGGACAGGAATGTTTAATGCATGTCTGGATTCCCCGATAATTGCGTACGGGGTTGTGCGGGATTTTGGGTTTCAAGATGCATCATGGGAAACATGACTCGCAGCTTCCGTGTACTCTAGCAGGGAAGGTAGTCTGGAAATGTTAGCACGGAGATAAGCAATGGTCATGAGGTAGACAAAAGTAAGGGTAGAATGGAGTACAACGGATCCCACGGATGAGTTGGAGACTGGGAGACTTCTCGCAATGATGTCTATGACAGCCGTCTCTGGGGGAGACCCATTCGGATTCATGAAGTCAATATTTGCGGTGTATTTTCCACGACAAACCGCATGGCGTTGGTGGCGCTTAGTCGTCTGAGCCTTGTACTTCGTATTCTCTGCAAGGAGGAGGATAGTAGGATAATGTAGGACAAGCACTCCGTACGCAGGAGGTAGATGTGATATCAAATTATTTGCTCTGTTTGCAGCCGTCATGTGACCTTCAAAACTCTTATCGGCCCCGCCTGAGGGAGTCGCCCCGGGGCCACTCAACTTCCGACTCTTTCATTGGCAAGTCGGCTTTCGGGATCTCCTGTGGCGCGATTAAAGAAAAACCATCGACATCTTTATATTCTTATTTTCGATGGGTTTCTTCTGTGAATTTGTCTCTGATTTCTCTCCCCGCAATCAGTACGGAGTAACGCGGGGAGAGACTCCATAGTGTGTTAGAGCCCTCGGTAACTCGCAAGTGGCTCTCAAGTGGCCCTCCCAACGATTACACCAATGTTGCATTTCTTTTACCTAACCTTCCGAACCTTCTGATCGCACAACGGACACTAAACTGGGGCCGCCGGGCTGCGTTTCGTCTAAAATTTCAATGCAATCCACTTTCACCCCATTCGTAATGGATCCAATCCCTGTTTCCGGTGTGCTCGTTGGGCGGCCGATCAACTGGAGTGGATCAGCGTCGTACTCCACGTGCTGGAGCAGCCAAGCAGAGTTCACAAAATCTCGTTTGTCCAGGCAAGCCTGCTTTGCCTCCTGGTAGTGCCGCATTCGAAAGTGCGCGGAATTTGCCTTTATATATACCCGATTTCCTCCCTTCCGTTCTGCCTGGCAGACTAGTCTCACCTCCACCAGCATCATGGGCTTCGAAAACATCTCTAACGACCATGACACCGACAAGGTGATGGAAACGGAAGGCGAGAAGGCCGCATATGCTCCCCCACCGCCGTTTGAGGGGGACATGGTCGGGGAAATGAGCGAGGCTGAGAGGAACCTGTATGACCACGGCATCAACAAGTTCAATCGTCTCGGCTGGAAGCGACTCACTGTCGTCCTCATCGTCGAGGCGATTGCACTCGGTAGTTTGTCGGTTCCCTCCACCTTTGCAACACTCGGCATGGTCGCCGGTGTGATCTGCTGTGTGGGCATCGGTCTCATCGCCATCTATACCAGTTACATTGTCGGAATGGTCAAATTGGCCTTCCCCGAGGTTGCCAACTATGCTGATGCGGGTCGATTGCTGGGCCATCGGCTAGGGTGTGGTCGCTTTGCATATGAGCTAGTCAATGCGATGCTCGGTCTTCAACTAATCTTTCTCACGGCCTCGCACTGTCTGACGGGAACCATCGCATTCCTCGATATCACCAAAAGCGGCATTTGCTCGATCATCTTTGCCGTGGTTTCTGCCGTCATCCTGCTACTACTCGCCATTCCGCCTAGTTTCACCGAGGTGGCAATTCTAGGCTATGTCGATTTCGTATCCATCATCGCTGCCATTGGAATCACAATTATCGGGACGGGTGTACAGGCGACGAACTCGCCCGGTGGACTCTCCGGAGTAGCATGGTCTGCGTGGCCGAAGGATAACATCTCCTTTACTGAAGCCTTCATCGCTGTGACGAACATAATTTTCGCCTACAGTTTTGCCATGTGCCAATTCTCCTTTATGGACGAAATGCACACTCCTCGGGACTTTATTAAGTCGATCTGGACGCTGGGTATCACTGAGATCATCATCTACACCATCACTGGTGCTACAATCTACGCCTTTGTTGGCCAGGACGTGTCCAGCCCTGCACTTACCTCTGCCGGAACTACCCTCAGTCGCATTGCGTATGGCATTGCTCTCCCTGTGATCTTCATCAGCGGTTCGATCAACACCGTGGTATTTGGGCGTGTGGTACATGGTCGCATCTTCGCCAACTCCCCCATTCGCTTCATCAACACTAAGATGGGCTGGCTGACATGGCTGGCGGTGATCACGGCCGCCACAGTTGTGGCATTCATCATTGCCGAGGTGATTCCTTTTTTCAACGACTTGCTTTCAATTTCTTCTGCTCTTTTTATCTCCGGGTTCACCTTCTACTTCCCTGCCATGATGTGGTTCATGCTCCTTCGGAAAGGGAGTTGGAAAGAGCCCAAGAACTTGATACTGGCAGTCATCAATGCGCTGATTTTCCTGATCGGCATGGTGGTGCTTGCTGGAGGAACCTATTCCAGCATTGATGATATCGTAAGTTTTTCTCTGGTGGTCTGCCTTGGGGTACGGATTATATTACTAACTCACTCACTCATCTAGATAATCAAGTACGCCAAAGGAGAAGTTCGTGGCGTCTTTTCGTGCGGTGCTCCCGAGTAAGGACAATTGTTTTCCCGTTATTAGCATATCTCAACATGGGATTATGAGCGTGATCAAGGTGCTTGTACAAAACTCCCCTCATTTTTGGTTTGGTTCGAGATAGGAAAATGCTTTTCTAGCCGGTGCATCTTCATGATTCAGCGAGGAATCATGGAGCAACAAGCGAAATATGTATATTCATTACAGTGCTCATCTCATTTAATACTCATGCTAAGCCATGAGATTCTCTTTAAGATTGACGAATAGTATAATATCGCCCCTAAAGTGGAAGCCAGCGAATGAGGACCTACATAAGGACGGTGAGCCACTCCGCTATTTATAGATACTCGTTGAGAGACCCATATTAATGAAATGCCCCAAAACTAGGCGGTTTGAATACAGACTCCATACTCCGTAGTCCAACTTATTATTGTATGGTATGTTTCACCGGTGCAGAAGGGGGCATTAGACCTTGATTGGCCTTGATTCGGATATCATTACGGATCGTCCGTATCATGCCCATGTGGATATAATTCGGAGAAACATGGAAGAATTGTGGGGAAGCAATACTCAGTAAGTCATTTAGGGGTTGGTATTTTGTTCATAGTATTCATAATCATATTCAGAACTATATTGGAGGCTAGAAGGGGTATGCTTCAAATACGCAATGATCTATGAAGTGGTTGTTATATCTAATGACGCTGGGTCTGGAATATCTATGGCTTATACAAAGTATCCCGTTAACACAATACTCAGGGATAAGACATTGTCTTGACTGTCAGAACCACGAGAGAGATCGACAAGATTGCCCCATAAAAAAGTCACGCTGATGTCACATTGTGGAATATCAATGTTATAGTCTGCAGGATCATGCTTGGCTTGGAGGATAGTCTCAATGGGTGAGAGATCAACCTTGGCGACGGTACGGAGTCGCTCCAAGTATAAAAGGGGAGGCATTTCAGCATATCCTAGAAACATCAACTATCAATCCTCCCAATTCAACCACTCTTATATCTTCTCAACTCAATCTTCGCATCCCCTCCGCCAATATGCAGCTCAAGAACCTCGCCATCGCTGCCTCCGTCAGCGCCGTTGTCTCAGCCGCCCCCTCCAACCAGTCTGAGACTTTTGGTGTCGTGGCTATTCACTCTGGTAGTGATGTGCAATACTCTGCCTTCAACGCTGCTAAGAGCAGCATCTTCGCTGGTCTGCCTAACCAGGGTGCCAGTTGTGCTCGTCCCAAGGAACAGGAGGCGACCTTCTACATCCTCGACGGTGCTCTGTACCTGTATGATGAGTCCGCCACTCCCCAGGAGATCTTCGTTGATCGCTCCGGCATGGGTATCCTATCACTCTCACAATCCTACTTGGTTGGCAAATAACTGACTTTCATATAGGCCAGGGCAAGATTGGATACACCACTGGTGCTCAGCCCAGCCCCACAAACTCCGAGCGCAAGGGCTGGACCCTCAAGGATGGCCACCTCCAGTTCGCAGGAGACGATCTGATTGCCTGCCCCAACAGCATTGACGGTGCCTGGAGCATTTGGGCTTCTGCTGGCATTGCAAACCCTGCTGGAAACTCCGACTGTGTGGGAATTGCTGCTCGTATCGTGGAGACCTCGAACCCCAATGGCTGCAGCTACACCTCTTAGAGGGAATATTGTCTTGTGAATTTGTCAATGCGTATAATTCTTGTTGGGTCAGATCAACTGCCTTGATGACTAGTTTGTCAGGCCTGTAAATCGCTATTTAGTTTAATATTTAGTTACAGAGAATCAATCCTTCTTCTCTCACTGCTTGCATAACTTACATGTGAGACTGTACCTACTGAGCTGGTCCATGGAGGTTTACATCGAGCCCCCAAAGATACATCAATACAATACGAAACGAGATTGCCAGGTATTTGCAGCCAATTGCTTATTGTTACATACATGTTATCGAAATCGGGGCCAAGTGAGGCTGAAAGGCCCTGAAATTCCTTCTTGGAATTCTCTTCCTCTTCCCTTCACGTTGCCTGTCAACTGCTTTGAAGAAGTGCGCTGCGCATTGAAATAAAAAAGCCTGCCAAGTGCCCGTCTGTAGCATTATCAGGATCGGAGTCGACATGACCAGAAGTTTGTTCTGACCAGCAAAACCATATGTGCAGAGTCAAGGTGCTGATGTTTTCATGGTATCGAGTCTCGCTCATGCACAGGAGGCTTCTTCTATAGTTATGTTGGAACGAGAGTATTGAAAACACCGAGCCATACAGAGGTACCGCATGGCCGGACAGGAGAATTTGTGATAATCGTAAAATGCCGTTGAAAGAGAACCGGACGTGTCATGAAGATTCTTTTCGAAGAGCAGTGCCACATACACCCTGTTCAGGTTCGGTAAGCTTGATCAGAAATTGAATTGAAGGTAGGAGAAGGTTGACGTACAAGTCGCCTGGCCATGAAGTCCTTGTATATCCCTAACCAGATTTCTCGGAGACGGCAGTCATCTTGTTGACTAGTTGCAGGATTTATCTCACAAGGAGGCTGCGTTTTGTTGATCACATCACGAGTAGCTGCAACCCATGGCTACCGGAAGAGGTCAGCATATCCGAAATAGAGATTGAAGGTTACCAAAAGTTGGTATGACATACCTTAGGAACTGGCCAGTCGGAGAAATGTAGATATTTAGCGTCTTTGAGGATTTTCTCAGCATCCCACAGTTCGTCTGTATTACCCAGATAGGCTTCATGATTATTGGAGCGGAACTCTCCAGTCAAAAGAGTATAAGGACGGTGCGGTACGACAAGCGCACTAACTCCATATAACTTGTTCATAATCTCCATGTCGTATACGTCAGAAGTAGCCTTGGAAACTTCATCCATTACGCGATCGAACTCAACCGCAGACGGTTGGATGAGCATTAGTCCAGACGTAAAGACTCGATCCTTTGGATCTAACCAGTAGGCCCGTGGCATGGCGACCGAGCCAGGTGGAAGCAGGAACAGCTCGTCCATAGCCTTCACGCACGTTAGTTTGAAATGAGAAAAGGCCACGATTGACCTACGCACCTGCAGAAGGGTTGCATCGGAATCCAAGTTAAGAACCCGATCATATTCCGTTTGATTAAAAGCGAGGAGTTTCGTGTAGCTCGATGACCACGGTGCTGCGCTCACTTTTAGCTTGAAGTTTTGTAATGAGTTGGGATGCCTTACCACCTCCCCCACCCTTCATCATTACTTTGATTGGCTTGAGTTTGACTGCATATTCGTCCCTTGCGAAGCGAAGTAAACGAGCTTCCGGCGAACTATCGTTCTCAGACAAGAGGAAATCGTATGGGTACATCAACACGCGATCGGCTTTGCTTCCAAGGCGATGAAGAGCCTCGAAAATCATGAGTGAGTTGCACAGATAAGATCTGTCGGTAGCATATTGGGTGTATGCAAATCGAGACCAGTCCACGTCCACTTGCTTCCCGGACAGACCGTCGAAGTGCGAATTAGAATCATCCAGAGGCGGATTGTATGAAAGTCGCAATAATGTCACAAAGCCGAATAGAGCGGACAAAGCTATGAACATGGAGCGAAAGACTCTCGGAGATGTTGTGGCCATACTTAACATGGTCGCTTATCGCCTGGAAAAATTGACAGGAATATTCCTAAATTCCACATAACTGTCGAAGGAAAACCTCGTAATGTGTTTGCAGTTCTCAGTCCATCTCAAAATGCATGTAAGAGGGAGGGTAAGAGAAGGTCGGAAAGTGCATGCGACAAAAAACGATCCCCTCAGCTGTCCATTTCCCCAGGGACAACCTCAGGTGATTGCAGCAGTCATAAATGGGCGGCTAAGCGCTGTCGATGCATGATCTGAGACACGCTAGAATCTCCAACAACGACTGATTGGCAAAATGGAACGCCTGGGGTGTCTTGGTCCGTGCCCGACTTCATCACATCTCGGCGCTAAATATCAATCGCATTTGGCAATTCTTCTTATTATTAGAAACATCTATACTTAGATGTCTGGCGCTTGGGATGGTACTGGATTATATCTACTATACGGTGTTCGGATATTCACCCCGAGTTGACTTTTGAAAAAAATCTCCAAATCTCCAACTCAGAACTCTACCCTATTGTCTTAGTGACGAGTGAATAATGACCTAACTTCGTCTGATACTTGAAGCTTAACTTTGTGGCCTTCATTGCTTACTGCATTGTTCAAACCGATAAGTTACATCGTCACTTCAGCTGTGATTCAAGTCAGTCCTGTCATGTAGAACACCGTCACTGTATACTTTGTTAGAAAATAATCGCTAACAATATTTTCCCCCCTAGGAATGAGAGGACTACAACAATGTGTTTTCACCCTTTGGATCCTTTGTCTTGATAAGGTCCTCTGTTCTAGTCCCCGGGAGATGACCTGGTCTGATAAAAAGTTCGGACCTGATGGCCCTTGGCAAGCGGTCACGGTGTCCATCGGAAGCAACTACTCTGAACTTGTTGTGCCTTCATCGGTAGTGGCGTTGTACCCGGGAGGTAGTTGGGAAAGTAAAATCCTACTACCTTCCATATGTGACAACAAGTCCCTCTCGTCGGTGTGCTATAGGGATAAAGCGGGTCTTTTTGACAGCGACGTATCAGTCACCTTGGACAATAACTCAATTTCATTGCCTCCATATGGAGCATGGGGTTATGTGGACTGGGGATATACGGACGCAGTTCCAGTTTATGCCAAAGCACGACGAGGAACAGATTGGATAACCATTGACGGTGCTCACGTTCCTGCTGTCGACTTGATTATCATATCTGCTGGATGGCAGACTTACCCTGGTGGACAAGCATACCCTTTACAAGTTGGGACCCTTTCTCTTGGAAGTCCAGATATTAATCAGACATTTGGGGCTTCGATCAAAATCAACGCGACCTTCATCACCAGCTACCTCTACGAGCAGGAGGGGTCCACGAAAATACCATCATATTCCTATGGAATGCATATTGGCTCCGCATCTCTGGGAATCCCTGGCTCACTTCATCTGGGAGGTTATGATCAGAATAGGGTCATTGGAAACGTGTCCGCTCAGTCGTTTTCAAGTGGAAGCTTCCCGATCGAAATGTACGATATGAGTATTGGAGTGGCAGAAGGCGGATCGCCTTGGAATTACTCCAACAAAACAGGTCTCTTGGCAAAGGGAAATTCCTCCCTGGATGCCGGTCTCAAGATTGTTGTGGACCCAGTCAACCCATACATATATCTGCCTCGAAGCACATGTGATGCGATAGCCGCTGAGTTACCCGTCATATACCAACCTGATTATGGCCTCTATTTTTGGAACACATCCGACTCGCAGTACGACAAAATTGTGACCTCTCCAAGTTATGTGGCATTCACGTTTAGCATGAATAGCCGCAATAACGAAGACATCACGATCAAGGTCCCCTTCGCTCTCCTAAATCTCACACTAGAGGCCCCGCTTGTGAAGACGCCGATGCAATACTTCCCATGCATGGCCACCAACAGCACCCCTGCTCTAGACCGCGCTTTTCTCCAAGCAGCCTTTGTCGGCGTTAATTGGCTTGGTGGGAAGTGGTTTTTGGCCCAAGCACCAGGACCTGATGGCTCTTTTATTGTCAATACAGTGACAATAGGGGACAATGAATCCACCATTTCGGGGTCTTCCAACAGTTGGAAAAACACCTGGAAGAACACCTGGAATTTGATTCCTACAAATTCGAACTCGAAAACGACCAAGATGGATACCGAAACAAGCAGCTCAACTACTGGCAGCAATGGTCTCTCCACAGCTGTCAAGATTGGCATCATCGTTAGTTGTACTGTAGGCGGCGTGTTGATGATTGCTATTTGTTGTGGGCTCTGCATTCGCCACCGTCGACAGCAGGAGAAATCGCTCAATCGGGATCAGAATAATGCAGCCAACGGGCGATTTGACCAATGGTCTTCAGCACATCAATCGACGCTTGTGGAAGCTGCCGATAATAAATGGAACCGACTAAATGAATTGCACCACAGCCACCAAATATACGAGATGCGCTCGGAGAGAGGTCCTTTTTATGAGATGGGCCCAGAGAAAGGTCCTATAGTTGCAATCGGTCATAAAAAGGTAGTTCAGCATGGCCGCTTCGAGTTGCCAGAGCAAACGTCCGTCTTCGGGTCTTCTAAATTTATCTGAAAAGCACTACGTTGCCATCATTGCAGAGCGAAGCGAAGCAATTATAATACTTCATATATCCCTGTCATGCTCCATATATTCTGAATCTACTTTCAAGTGTACCTGCTTACGCCACAACCCGTAACTAGTTAATTTTGATCAGCCCGATATTATTAGTGGATTGTACCAGCGCCCCCCTTGGCCAGTGCGACCCCCCTTTAGGCCAAATCGTAGGTCAGTTGATGCCTGAAATATCAGGCAAGAAAGGGGGGTCGCTGGTACAATCTCCTTTTTATGTTCTGAGGCGCTTTGGCTTGACTGGCTGCCAAATAATGTGGGTGAATGATGCGTTCATGGGGATTTACTCGCATTTATGACTCTACCGAGCGACGCCATATTTCGTGAACAAGGGATCACCAAGCAGCCGGTCCAAGCAGCTTTCTTCCACGCCGACCAGAATCTCCATGCCACCATTCGGCAAAACTGGGAGCACAACTTGACAGCCGTTGATGCAGCCAACATGGGGCACTCGTACAGCCTCGATATTGTTGCCCAGCAGTGGTCCCCACTCCAACCCGTACAGTTTGAAGTTCACCCATGAGGTTAACACGCAGTTGAAGCCGGGAACATCTAGAAAAGCGGTCGGTACCAGCCGATCGACGTCTTCAAGCTGCTCTACCAGAGTTATCACATCATCCGTGAACTGCTCATCGGCCCGCAGAATTGCCTTGCGGATTTCCGTCGCCAGATCGGCTAAAGTCGTGGTACTGAGCATTTTGCGGATCGGCGCCGAGACGGACACATACTCTAGGAAACACCCTAAAGTCGATGGATGCAATTTGGGATCTGTCCGCTGTCGCCCGTCAATAGCAATATTGAAAACAGACACAGGGTCACCCTCCAGAGTGTCTAGGGGCGACTGTACTGCCATCACTGTACGCCAGAGTAGTGCCGCGAGAGCATCATTGGTCGATATCCATTTTTGATCGGTCGGCTTGGTCGCATTCGCCGGGGACGCCTCTGCCTTCAGCTTTGCTAAAGACTCCGGGGAAAAATAGAAAATCTGACCGCAATGGCTCAGAGAAGACATCTTTGGCGGGGGTCCCGGGGGTGTGAAAGGAAGAAGAGTATACTCTGGATGATTTTCGAGCTTTCCAGCATTATGGCCGGTCGGCTTTGTCACTTGTTCGCGGTCTTGCCAAATGGCCTCTGGAAGGTGGATGGGATCTAGGATCTCCAGTCCCTGTGCCCGGCGACACTCTTCTGCCCATATGTTTGTCCAAGTATAAAATGTGGTACCGTCACCCGCCATGTGGAGTATGCACCACGTCAAGATCAACCCCCCTCGGATGAAATTGGCCTGTACAACTGAAATCGGCAGTCGCTCCCCAGCGGCAGGCCAAACAGAACGGGGACAGAACGTATCGGCATCGAAGGAGGAGACAGGGAAGGATTTATCTTTCAACTCCGCATAATCAGATCGAAAGGACTCACGTAGGTCCTTGACCACGATGCGCGCTACCTCATTGTTCTCCAGTTTCCGAAATCTCATCACACCCTTTTGTTTCGAACTGCCATCGGGAACGGCTTCGCACGCGACCTCTGGGATTCGTTGTGTGAGAGCTTGGTACCCGGCTTGAAGAACTCGAGTAGCTTCATCCAAGTCATACTCCTCCTGAAGGTGAAAGGGGAAGATGTAACGAAGATAGCCTTTAGGGCCGATACGTTCCAAAACCGTGAGCTCAGGAATCGGTTGGTTATTCACAGAACTCATGTTGTATTTGGGTTAGGGTACTCGGGAAATGAAAAGAGAAGTAGTGGTAGACGGGATGAAGGGTACAGAGTATACGCACTGGAATACGGGGGGTTTATCATTGGCAAATTTCTAAGTCTCTTGCGCATTTGTACCCTTCGAATTATTTTCTACTGCCTAGGCTCAATGGCCATTGTGGTGAGATAGGGATCTTCCGTTTCAAGACCCATTGAAGGATGATGCTTGACTAGGGCTATGCGAGACGGGACATCGCAATTTCACTAAACTATAGTGCGAGTGGCGACATATGGATTATACAGGGATATCATACCGAGGTATTGATTACTTAGATCACATACAGCTTACCATTGGTAAATCGCTAGATAATACCCCGTATGGAGTAGTGTGCAGGCTCTGGCATAGCCCTAACGGCCCGAACAACGCTGATACCAGCTTTCTTTAAGGCAGGATCGGCGCTTCTCCGACGGCGATCGCCCTGAAATTAGCCTGTATACCAAGAATGTCTGGTGCAATATCTTCATGTGGTAAGATGTTCATCTGCAAAAGTACATAATTTTAGGAGCCATCAGATTTGATTGCTAGAGTGAATCCATCATGATAGGAACTATCTCATTCGCTCCGCAGATTAATAGCTGATCCTGCTGTGTGCTTCAGTTCGATGCTGCGAGATTTCTCCTATTAAGTACGCATAGTTTGCTATGAATGAGGACCCGGCCATTGTCGCTCTCTTTGGGCCAGCCCCGCTGAATATCGACCTCACTGCCAGTGAGGTATCTGTTAACAATGGTGTGGTCATTGCAATGCTGTGTCTGGCTGCTTTGTTGGTGATTCTACGCTTCACTGCTCGAATTGTCCTCCAAAATGCCTTGATGGCGGATGACTGGGCAATTATTGCGGCACTAGTGAGTTAATCCTTCGCCAGTTTAGATCACCTTTTTTGACTGTATTGGATCGAAGGTTTGTATAGGTGTCTCAGCTGGAATAAGTGTCGCCGGTAAGTACTAAACTCCCAGCAAAATACCATTGTTTAACAGAGCAACGTTGTACCTAGGCGGCACTACTGGTGCAGGAAAACACATCTGGGCAGTCAAGCTGGAAGAATTAATGGACTTGTATAGAGTAAGAAAATGCCCTTCAAAAGAGCCCTTGACTTTTCTAACCCAGCTTTATTTAGCTTTTATTCTCTTACACGTTCATTTACGCCTCGTCCTGTACTTGCACCAGACTCTCCATTCTTTTCTTTTATGCGCGAATCTTTTCCCCTTTGGAATCCTCGTTGAAAGCGGCTCTCATTGTCGGATTGGTACTCACACTCTCATATCCTATCATTATTTGGGTAAGTATGGGCAATGCTTGCAAACCAGTGTCCCACTTTTGGACACAATTCAGCGGCGCCGAAGGAAAATGCATCAATATCAACCAATTCTTTCTCGCACTAGGGATCCTCAACATGCTAAATGATCTCATCATTCTGATCATCCCTTTTCCGCGAATAGCTCGGCTACAAATGACCCTTCGGAAGAAATTAGCAATTTGTGGCATCATGGCCGTGGGAATCTTGTATGGCCTCTTTGCTTTTCTTTCTAAGCCTCATTCCGTGAACAGAGCTGAACCATTCATCCTAGTGTTTTTGTTGCGAGCATCGTGCGAATCCATTATCTCTCTGAATTCATGGGCGCCGTGGACGTGACATGGCTGATGGGACCCGTATTCATCTGGTCAACCATCGAGCCATCGGTCGCGGTGGTTTGTGCCTGTCTGCCTCACCTTGCACCGCTTGCTCGACTCGCCCATCGATCAATCTTATCAAGTTTGAATTCACAAAGATGCACTATCATTCCAGAAAGACCAGGACTCCACAGTGGCTCGGGGGAGGGTCTCCAGATGGGGAATCAAACCAGCAACCGGGGACCAACATTTGACTACGGGTTCGATCAAATGAAAAGGAACGCAAAAGACGATGAAATTGGACTAACTAACTATATCACCGCCGGTCAGAATGAGGCCACGAATCCTTCGAATGACTCCATCTCCGAGGATATTGGTCATAATCACTCAATTGCTGTTCATTCAAGTCTTGTGCAATCGGCCTCACCAAGACCACCCTGGTAGGGTGATACTATATGGAATCAAGTCCCTACTGCATTAGACTTGGAGAACACAATACCATTCCATAACCCGCTTTCATAGGAGGAGATGAATACCTAACAGCGAGCTACCGGTTTCCTTCATATCATGTACATATCGTCAGATAAGAATATAGGCAATGTTGCCTTATTTCAACACACTTTAATCACCGGAACTCGCTTGTTGGCCGCAGTCCTAAACCACTCTTCTCGTACGCCATGTCAATCATCTTCATCTGATTCCATGAATCCTTACCCTCAACCCAATATTGTGTGGAACGCCCCTTAACACGATTGACAAACTCTTCAAGTTGGTACCGATATGACATCCACCATTCCTCACCGGGGAGATTCGCAAATTCACCCCCTGCCTCCTTGTAACTGTAAGCCTTATGTGCCTTGGATTCGGTCCAAGTCTTGACCGGCATGCCATCACTCTTGTTACGAATAACGAAGGTATCCTTGACATCGATACGGTGCCAGATGAAAGCATGGATAAAACCGTGTAGCGTCACCACCCGTGTGCGTAGCTTCTCTTGTGACTCCGGGATGGACTTGTCATCGACGACGACTTCCTTGTGTGTGACGCGGGCCTCGGACGGTTTCCATAGGATAGGCCCACGCATGGTGGTGGAAGCTTCGGCAATACCGCCATTCGGGAAGCGAAATTTGGCTTTAAAGTCAGTATCACACTGGTCATGGATGCCGTCACCGAAGATGCCAGGTTCGCAGGTTAGACACTCCTCGGGTTCGTCATCAAAGATCATGCGGATAACGCCGAAATTGTATGTGCCCATCATCATCATGCTCCCGCCGGCGAGTTTGTAATTGAACCCGATGTTGTCCTTGTCGAGCATCAACCATGGAACCATAGAGTCTGTATGGACGTGGACGACATCGGCGGGGGTGATGAAGGACCGGAACTTGTGCACTGCAGGATGGAACCGGTTGTGGAAGGCCTCGAGCAACACGGGGGCATTTGGCTGTGATAGCTCTGGTAGATTGAAGAGAATCTCGGCCTCAATGGCGTTAGAGCTCGACGGCTTTTCTAAAAGGACATGTTTGCCGGCACGAATGGCGCGTATGGCCCATTCGAAGTGTAAACTGTTGGGCAAAGGGATCAAGACTGCATCGATCTTGGGGTCGTCCAGGATTTCTGTTCATAGTGAGAAGGGGTTCTCTAGTAAGCCCCTGAGTCTAACGCACCCTCGTAGGATGTGCGAACATCGGGGATGTTGTGCTTTTTAGCGAATGCCGAGGCACGGGCATGATCTCTAGCCGCAATCGCTTGCACGATAACCTCGGAATGTGAGAGGGCTGGTGTGATCAAGGCGAGAGGTCTATCAGAAATCAGGTTCAGCAAGGCGATCACTTTGGGAAATAGTGAACTCACGCAATCTGGGCCGCCCCCAGGATGCCAAAACGGATAGCATCGTTCTTCTTCTCGACCTTTGGAGGGCCGAATGCCGTGAAAACTCGCATAATCATTGCTGCCATTCTATTTATTTTCCTTGCTTGAAATGTCCTAGAGACAAACAATCCGTGAATTTAATACCAAAGTGGGAATGGTAGTTGTACCGTCGGGGTAAAGGTTGGACCGAGTGACAGGGTATAGGAAAGGGGATGACAGGGCATAGAGTGGCTAACACGTCTCAATAGTTAAGTCCATCACAACCTATCGCTCGAAACATGCGGACCATTGAATTTGCCATAGACGGCGTTATTGACGGCGGTATCGCACGACAATATAAAGAAAAATAAACCTCCTCACAGCGCCGAGATCATGTGGTGGGGATTGGATAAAATACCACGAATAGATACATTTGGAAGCATAACGGATTACTATCGATGTATGCTTCCAGCCCACGAGGCAGGATGGACCTGACCGTCAATTAGATCGCACAGGCTTAACTAAAATCACACAGAGCCCGATGACGTTTGTTTATCTGGAAATAGTGGATCTCACGGCAGCTCAGGTTCTTTGTTTGGAGACAGCTTCCTCGTTACAGACGAGCCTACACTTCTATCGCTGACTTTTAACGGATATGTTTCTTATGTCTACGAGCTGAACAATCTGACTAAAGAAAGGCTTCCGAAATGAGATTAATTGTTTGCTGAAACTTAGAAGCACAATCCCACTATCCATGATCCTCCCTGTTAGTTAATGGTTGATCGAGTACGGAGTAACTGTTTACCAAACCGAGTCGGATCTATGCATAGGGACTACGAGATCTGCCTAAGGGCCTTTTTATTATCTGTGCTTGCACATAGGTGCCGACACATAAAACCCCAAGTTGTGCGATAAATAATCTTTCGGCCGATAGTGCACATGGAGACTCATCGACACAACGAGATAGGCAGTGATTTGCAAAATGGAAATGGATGGTCAATATCAACCGTAGCTGTCTGCTATGATTTAATCGCCTATTGTCTCGGCCGGGTCGCGCTTCTTTCTCGAACATCAATAGAAAGTACCTTGAATCATTGTGCTTCATGTCCAGCTTTAATGAGAGTGCTAATGCACTGCGTTTGATTTCCTTTGAATTAAGCTCTATTCTATTTAGTAATTCCCTACTCCATATTTCACAAAATCACGTAGACAAAATCAAGCTAAGCCAAATAATTTCCTCCACCAAAAAATGAAAATATCGAGCCCCCTTTGGAGTTCATCCTGTTCACAACCAAGAGACATGGCCACGGGTTCCGAAACTAGAAACGGTCGACGTAGGTGATGGAAGGTCATTCGGCAAAGAGGGCAGCTGGCGTCATGTGTACATATCCACTTGTCGATGCAAGGTTTGTGGAATAGGTGCTGGCATGGCAATTGAGATCGATCGAGAGCTCATATCCCCGAGACAGATAGTACATATATGGATGGTGACAGCCTGTCGAGTATTAGCCCTAGACATGACTGGCTTAGGCCTCATGGTGAGTTACAAGTCGGGTTGAGCCCATATAGCAAGGCATGTTGGCTAGTTCGATATCCATCGGCCGGAGTAAGAAGTTTCGTTACTGAACGGGAATAGCACAGGAAATAGAAGAAAATCTTCGCACTATGTCCAATGCTATGTTTGTCAATTGCATCTAGCCATCACTATATACAAGATCAAACTCGTTAGGACGTGGGTCTTTCGAAGAAAATATGAATAAAGGAGTTACTTCCATCATTTATCAGAATTATTATGTAAGTACTCCGTATTCTTTCCCGGCTTTCCCGCTTTCCCGGCTTCGAATTTCTCGCTTGCTTCCACTTCTGCTCTTGACAACGTAGTGATAAGTGGGAGTAGGCCTAGGACCAGGTTCCCCTCACGCGGGGTGAGGAGAAATAAAGTACGTATTGATCTGAGTTGCAATATTAATGGCCTGATTGAGACCATCAAGACATCCGACCCGGTCAAACCTCCCCCGACCTCCGACTTGACGTACAAGGGTTGATGTCTATATCTCTCGCCCGAGATAGCCCACCAACTGAAGACGGTGATGTCAGACCGTTATCATCATTGAAACAACTCTCTCTAGGGATGGCTTGTGAGTAGTATAAGTACCTATTTGTCTGCCTCGGAAAACTCTTTCACTGCGAGAATCAAATTCAATATCACCTATATCAATATCTTTTTCAACTTTGCCTTACGGACATTCAGTAATCCGTCCACAATGTCGGACCCCAACAATCCTAATATCAAGATTAGATCCACTCCACAATGGTCTCTCTACAGACGGGATGCATTCTGGAATACCAACAATGGCGTCTATCCGCTTTTCAACACGGACCCAGCTGAGGTCGAGAAGCTCGCGAAGGAGAAACTGTCTCAAGGAGGATGGTAAGTTTAGTCATCCGAAGCATAACATCTCATCAACTTATCAATCTAGGTACTATTCGTCATGTAATGCGGGCATGTCTTGGACCCATCTGGCTAACCGCCAGGCATTCTACCGCCACCGCATTATTCCACGCACTCTAGTGGACACGAACACTAGAGATACCGTGACTGAGATCTTCGGTCATCGAGTCTCGGCTCCCATCGGCTTCGCCCCCATTGGTATCAATCGCATCTATCATGCTACCGGCGAGCTTTCGGTTGCCAAAGTTGCCGAGGAATTGAACTTGGCGTACTGCCTTTCCTCTGCTGGTAGCTACAGCATCGAAGATGTTGGAAAGGCCAACGGCAACGGTCCGCGTTTCTTCCAGCTGTACCAGAGCCACGACGATGAGCAGGCCATTTCTATGATGCAGCGCGCCTGGGACTCCGGCTATGATGCATGCATGCTCACCACCGACACCTGGTCTCTTGGATGGCGCCACAATGATGTCTTCACCGGCAACTACGCATTCTACCACGATCACGGTGTAGGTGATATTGGCCTGCAGGACCCTGTGTTCCAGCAGCGCTTGAAAGAGGCAGGTATCGACCCTAAGAAAAATCCCAAGGAGGCCGGTGCCAAATGGATCGACGAGAATATTTGGCATGGCCGGGCCCATACCTGGGAGAAGGTCAAGTGGACCATGGCCCAATGGAAGCGGATCAGCGGCGGTAGACCTTTCTGTTTGAAGGGAATTCAAAGCGTCGAGGCTGCTGAGAAATGTGTTGAAATGTATGTCGATGAGAATTTGCGAGTTCATCCATGAAAAATGCTAACCATAGCGATAGTGGTATTGACGGCATTGTTGTGACGAACCATGCCGGTCGCCAGGTGGATGGCGCCATCGCTAGCCTTGATGCTCTGGAAAAGATTGTCGATGCCGTTGGTGATGGGCTATACGTAAGTGAGAACATGTTACCAGATCCCCCCGAGAAAGACGTACCGTGAACATATAAGGCGGAAGGGAAGATAACAAAGACTTGGGGGATCGGAGAATACTGAAACCATGCTAATGTATCGACGTCCGACAGATCATGTTCGACTCTGGCGTGCGCAGCGCTGCGGATGCTTTCAAGGCTCTTGCTCTGGGGGCTAAGTTTGTCTTCCTCGGCCGATTGTGGGTTTGGGGTTTGAGTATTGCTGGCGAGGCTGGCGTGCGACATGTGATGAAGAGTTTCTTGGCTGAATTTGATATTCTGATGGAGGAGGCTGGATTCCAATCTATTGAACAGATTGATAGGTCGGCTATCGACAGCCTTCCCAACACTTCAAATTTGATCGCTGAACACAGTCGGATTTGAGATCCATCAGGGTTTGGGAAGACAACGTGGAGCCAGTTGTCGTCGTGAAAAGAAGGCGAATTAGAAAACCCCTGAAATAGTTTGACTGTTGGGGAATCTGGAATCCGAAATTATTGAAGTCGATTGATTCTTCTTACGAATTCTGGAATGTGTAGCCAAGAAATCGGGGGCGTATTGTAACATGCCTGCCTTATGTTGCGAACATATTGAACATAGAATATTTGATTTGAGTAGCAATGAACATGATTTCCATAACCCAAGTAGTATTTAACACGGCAATGTAATGCGCACCAAAGGATACCAAGCACACCGAGCTCAGCTCAAAATGGTCGAGGCCCTGGCTGTAGTAGGATCTGGAGTCTTGCCAGGGGTGCTTCCCAATATTAGGGTCAGCGCCCCGTTCTAATATAACAAGATTAGATTTGCTAAAAGGAAAAAGGAAGCTGAGAGGGTAGCTCTGAAGTGGTGAACGAGGCGATCAAGAATATTACGTAAGGTAGACGACAGCAGGATTTGAGCGGTGAATGGTTTCTGCCAGAACGAGGTTGAGACCGAAATCCCACCGAGGAAAGAAAAGGGTATTCATTCATTCTAAAGACTTTTCAATCTTTGCCGCCTCCAAAATTGCCGAGTGATCCAGGTTATGAGTGGTGCCCGCACTCAGGATCGCATCACGCACCCACTGCCCCCTCGGACGCATCACTGACCTAAACGGCTTGGGCAAAGTGACAAAACCCTCCGTGCAGTCCATATCATGGACCTTGTGTCTCGCGCCTGTGCTCTCGTCCACAACGCCAGCCTCGACATCAAATGACCACAGCATGCGCGCCATTTGGATGAATAGCTGGTTGCGCGCGATGAGACGGCCCGTACAGATTCTGCGCCCGAACCCGAAACCCGTATGCGGTAGATCCTTGAGGGCTGATGTGTTGAAGCCGCAGACGTCGCTATGCTCATTAGCGGATTCCTCGGCGAGCCACCGCTCCGGGATGAAGTTGTCGACGTCCCCGCCGAAGACGGCCTCATCGCGAGTGATGGCGAATGCGTTAGGGAGGACAGTTGAGTTGGCGGGGATATGGTAGCCCATGTACTCGTCCTCGGTCTTGGTGAAGTGTGGCACACCTTGGACGACGACGGGGCGCCAGCGGAGGGTCTCGCTCGCTGTGTCATGTCATGTGAGACCTTGCCCATTGTTTGAATAAGAACAAGAGAAACTCACCAATAGCGTCGATGTAGGCCAGCTTCGGACGGTCTTCGAAGCTGGGTAGGCGATCCTTACCGACGACCTCGTCTAGCAGCTGTTGCGCCTTCTTCACCCAGCCACGCGATCCCGAC